CTTCTTATCCATCTTTATTTCTTCTTTTGAGAACTCTCTGTTCAGCTCCTTAGCCCATCTTTTAATTGGATTACTTCCTTTCTTGATACTTTGTTTTTTGAGTTTGTTATATAGTCTGGATGTTAAACCTCTGTCAGCTGTGTTACTAGTGAAGCTTTTCTCCCATTCTGTGGGTTTTCTGTTCTCTTCCTTGGTTGCTTCTTTTGATGTACAGAAGCTTTTTAGTTTAATGAGGTCCCATTTGTTGATTCTTGACCTTGTTTCCAGAGCAATTGATGTCTGGTTTAGAAAATCCTTTTCCTACACCTTTATCTTGTAGGTTATTGCCAATGTTTTCTTCTAACAGTTTCAGAGTTTCAGGCTTCACATTGAGTTCTTTGATCCATTTGGAGTTGACTTTTGTGCAGGGTGAAAGATAGGGGTTTAGTTTCATTCTTCTCTAGGTGAAGATCCAGTTTTGCCAGCACCATTTGCTGAACATGTTGTCTTTCCTCCATGAATGTTCTTGGCCCTTTTGTCAAATATCAGGTGGCCGAAACTGCATGTACTCATATTTGGGTCTTTAATTTTGTTCCATTGATCTATGGGTCTGTTTTTGTGCCAGTACCATGTTGTTTTTATGACTCTGTAATATATTTAGTGTTTTCACTACGATGTGCCATGGACAGTTTCTTCTCTGGTCCTGTCTATTTGGTGTTCTATATGCTTCTTATATTTGTATGGGCATGTCTTTCTTTAATTTTGGGAAATTTTCTTCTACAATCCTGTTGAAGATCTTGTCCATACCATTATCCTGAGATTCTTCTCCTTTCTGTAATGATTCGTAAGTTTGGTTTTTTATGGTGTCACACAATTCCTGCATATTCCATTCTTGTGTTTTCTTAAATTTTTCATAATCTTTGCTTGAGTAGTTTAATTTATCCCTTTATCTTCTAGTCTTGATATTCTGTTTTCCATTCATTCATCCTGTTGGTGAGGCTTTCTCCTGTTGTTTCTCATTGGCTTACTGAGTGTTTCACTTTCTTCTA